AGAGAGAGAGAGAGAGAGAGAGAGAGAACCAATAACTTCATGGGGCTGTGTAGTGTGTTGTCTGTTTAATAAAACTGTTATTTGGACTCCTAAATTGGATTTTGCTTTACTATGGTTTGACCCCGCTCCAATCTCTGCTCCGCGCCCCTTTAACTTCTGCCTCATTTCTCCCTCTCCTGCTTCTGGCTCACCGCCACCTCTGACAACTGTCCTGAGCTCCTCTCTGCCTCCAACCCCATTTTTTTGCCACTGTCTTATGCCTTTTCCTTTTCCCCTGAGCAACCAGGTTTCTGACTCAGTTTCTTTCCTGGCTGTCTCCTCCTTGCCACCACTTATCTCCCCCCAGCTCCCCCAATATCTCAGCTGCCTGCCTCAGTTTCCAGGCCCAAGCTCCCAGGTTTTTGTCTCTCTCTCTTTCCTGGCTGTCTCCTCCTTGCCACCAGGCTTGTTTTTTTCTTTCTTTCCCTTGCACCAATGACCTTGAGTAACCCTGGGGCCACTTGATCTTAAGTAAACCTAAGCCTCAGTTCCTAAGACAGCTTCTCTGTAGTGCACCGGTTCTAATCCTGGTTCTGGCAACTTTCACTCCCTACACTTTAACTCTCTCTTTCTCTCTCTCTCTCTCTCTCTCACCTGAACCTTTCCCCAAGTATCCCAGGTACCCCAAGCACACACATACACACTGTACCATCCAAGTTAGGAACTTACCTGTGTGTATGTGTAGGCAGGTTGTATGTGTGTGAGCTGGTGAGTGTGTGTGTGTATGTGTATATATCTATATATCTATATCTATATCTATATCTATATATATATCTCATTGTGTGCACGATATATGAATTAGTGATCTGTGTATATGTACTGAGTGTGCGGGTATTGACAATTGATTTTTGTCTAATTTTTAGTGTGTAGTGTATATGTGCTTGAATTGGTGATAAGTATGCATGTGCCTAGGCTGGTCTCGATGTGTATGTGCCTGAGCTGGTAGTGTGTGTGCATGCACCTAATTGATTTGTGTGTTTGTATATGTGCACTTGTGCCACACCCTCCTGTCTAACAGCACAATATTGAGATCCTGAGAGTTGGCCTGACCCCACAAGGCAACATACAGAACCCATTCTTATTTGCAGAAGGCTACTCTTTCCAGAGTTAAAGTGAAAAATATACTGCCATTATAAGAGGTAGGGTTTGGTTTTTTGGGTTTTTGTTTTGTTTGCCAGGGGAGAGGTGTGGGTTTTTGCTGG